TGGAACAGGCTAGAAAGTGTGCAGGTGTGCGTCATAAGAGATGGTAGTTCTTTTGATTTTTGTGTCTGGTTGAAACTGACATCTTTCAAATCACACTGATGTCAAAGTAGACACTCTAAATAATAATGTGCTGGTCAAAATAAATAAATGCTTAACCAATATCATACATCGGGCATTAAAGTAAGACATGTTCCTATGTCTATAACCCTATAAATCATGTCACGTGATGTGATTGTGGATTTGAGGCAGAGGAATAGAAGCAGAGGCCTGGATGACCTTTCAGGGGTCACAAAGCACCAGATGCTCTTGAACACAGGAAACCAGGTTAGCGGGACACGTTTAAAAAAAAAAAAAAAAAGGATTGTAGATATTGAATAGTTAACTTTTATATATTGTATATTTTACCCTTATTTTGTACATATTTGTTTTAGTACTTTTTTCTTAAAGTATATTTTTAACATTTGTATTGTTATGGTCATATATGTATATTTCTTGAAATTGCTGTACTTTTAGCCCCCCTTTAAGATGAAATCCTACATGGCAATAAACCATATACTGATTCTGAAATCAGGCAGGATTAATGGAAGACCCAGGTTTACATTTAACGTGTTTTTTTTTTACCACCCACTAAAAAAAGAGGACCCAGGCAGGGTATATTTTGGAACTGTATTGGGTCATTCCGACTTAAAAGTTCAGGGCAGATCCAGAGACAGAGGACAGTGTAGATGATTTACTGCCATGCTTACCTGTGATGGTACACCACACATCATCTCCCAAGTGCCATAGTGCCCTTGAGCTTGGCGATAGAGTCGTACTGCATCAGTGAAGGCTGGAGTTTGTACTTTATTGTCCTCTGTCAAACCTGCCATGGGAATACGAGTAGCGGTTAGCATTTGAGCATACAATCCATTTGGACATGTGGAGGAACGTTTCTTGCTTAAAGGGGACCTATCATGCAAAATGCACTTTTGTACGTCTTTTATACATGAATATGTGTCCCCGGTGTTCCAGGGAACTCACCAAGTTTCAGAAAACACAACCCTCTCTATTTTCCTCCATACCCAAATCTCTTAAAAAGGGGCTGCAACGGATCTGATAAAACCTGATCCAGATTTGAACACTTCAATGATGTCACAGAAGTGGCGCTACGGCTATTGGGCCAACTCCACCAATCAGGAGGAGACAGCCACGGACATTGTTGTTCGAAAGCACTGGAGACGCTGTAGTACATATGCCAGGCCTGTAGATGGTGCTGTTCTCACAGAATCAGCCCATGAAAAGACAGTGTTAAATTGAGCGAAATGAGGAATGGCTAAAATGCATGATCTGTTTGGTATTTTGAAAAATAAAAAGTATAAATATGCCTTATATAGGTATGGTCCTACACTATATTATTCAAATATAGCATGATAGGTCCACTTTAAATTAAGAAACTTCTGAATATGAAAATCAATGACTTGTTGGCACAAGCCGATAACATGCTGATGTGTCAATTAGGAAAAAGCATAAGTTACAATTTTAAATTCTATAAAGCTGCTTCACTGAATCATGGTTAACTTGAGATAAAACTGAGCCGTTATTAAAGAGGCCCCTTATTGAAATGTTCAGCTTCATATTAACGTCTCTCCTGGGACATGTCTCCATGCTTTAATGTTCAAAAAGCTCTTTATTTTTCTGCTATGATTGGTCAACCGCTTAGAGATGTCCCGCCCCTTAGCCTATGTACAATGTATTGGAGCAGTAGCCAGTCGGAGTGCGAGTGTTATATAGTGATGTCACTATGTTCTCGAAATAAACAAAGGACTGCAATCAAAGCGTTTCAGGCAGGAGGGGGGTGGGGGGGACACAGGGATTTAAGTCTTTGCAGACCACAAAAACCTATAGAACAAACTACAGGAAAGCAGAATGGGGCCTCAAGATTATTGAGAACACATTTTTCAGCTATAAGAATTCCGTATTTAGGTTGTGAAAAAGCCTATTGCTTCTATGATACAAAGGGGGTTCAAGTTTAACTTTGCCAGATTCTAAAGGTTTTTTGGCAAACAAAGAATAATACAAATCAGGAAAAAGCATGTTAACAATGAGTGCTTTGGGAAAGAATACATGCTAAAGCTGAAATTGTGTACAGCCAGATTGGACAGTGTGGGAGAACTCCAGACTATGACAAAGCCAGGAAGTATGTGCGGGGGCGGGACTGGGGGGGCCAGATTTCCTAGTAGATGCAGAGACAGAAATTGTGAGGACCCTCTCGAAAAGCGGGTTAGTATTTAGATGTAGCCTTAAATGGTATGAGCCGCTTTCAAACAAACCAGAGCTAGTTTCTTCTTTTATCTTACAACCCAGAGGACAAAATTCAGAATTGTGGGAATCGTGGACTAGTGGACCTGGTGTGAGGTTGGTTGACTCACACCTTGTTTAACGGAGCTGTTAAAGTCAGGTCTCACGGAGAACATATGAAGTCATTCAGCTGTGTCTCCTTTCCAAGTGCCAGAGTACCAAACTGGTTAAAGGGGGACTGTAATGGCGCTCAGTTTCAGTGAGCAGGGGGGGGTGCAGTAACACAACCTGAAGAAACACATGTTCATGTTCCACAGCAGGCTAACCATGCTGCCCCTTATGGTCTGGTTTCTAAGGATGATAGATACACTTGTTACTTCTGTTGAGCTAACAACTGATTCATATTTTTAACAATGTGTTTCTTAACTAGTGTCACATGACTGTTAATATCGACTGATGTGAAAACCAAGATTTACATCCAAATCAAACATATATAGTCTCAATGTTCAGTTTAAGAATTAATAAAGGGGAAAGTCAGCTCAATTTAAATTACAAAATTCATAATTTCCTTTAGTCATTGCTTTGCTATATTTTAAAGGGGTCCTCTTCAGATTGATTTCACTATCTCACTCCAAACTAAACAAAATCAAATATCTGCCGGAGGCCATGGGAGCATAGAAGGAAAAAAAGACAATCGAAACAAATGTTTCAGTTAAAAGGTCCTGGTGAAGGAAAAAAAAATGTTGGTAAATGCATTTCTTAAAAGTGCACATGCTGTTTGAGCCTCCTTTGAGCTGGCAGCCCTGCAGCTGCAGACGAGATCACATAACTCCGTTCCCATTTATCCTCCTTCTAACCCTACTGATGTGTCAGGGTGCATCTAAGATGAAGACTAATTTGGAGCATTTGTAAAGATAATAAAAGGGTAATAACTTTTTGTTTCCCAAACGTATTCATAACCATGTGTGTCTGCAGGAATGTGTGTTGATGTTTAGCCGGCAGGACTCACCATCATTAGTGTGTCTGACGCAGTCCTGGAGCACGGCTTGCCACTTCCTCTGCTCCGCCTCCGTCACCACACAGAAGGACTGGCTCCGGGCGTACGGGTGCCAGAGGATCAGAGGGAACTGGGTGGCACACTTCAGGAAGGGGGAGCTTCCCACCTTGGCTTCTATACCTGCAGAAATGTACACAACATAATCTCACCGAGGGGGGGCATAATGAAGCTGGCTCGGCCCCTGCTAAAATCTTTTATTTGTCAATCTGCAATGTACTCTCTTTCACCTCGATTTATTTGAGTTGTACCAAGCACAAATTAACCCTCACCCATGAAAGAACAACAATTATGAGGGAAATCAAGTTAAATATAGATTTTGCGGCCCTCGCCACCTTCTTCCCCAGGTTTGAAAAATATTAAACCAAGCACAGAGGCCCTTTGGATGCCGTTATAGTAGATTCAACATTACAAAGTACTCTTCAGAGCAACCTAAAAGTTTAACCTCAAGGGGACATTTCTCGCTCATTGAGTAAAGTGACGAAGCCAGGTTAGCCTTAAGCATTCATTATCTTCAATGAATAACAATAACAGGAACAGGAACAGCTTATTGTTTTTTTTACCTGCATGTTAGGATGAGGGAATGTTCTGTGAAAATAAGGTCTTACCTTGCCCTTATGTTGTGAGAGGAAAACAACGTTTATATCCCAAACATTATTCTAAATTAAAAGTTTTCCTCACAGCAATAAATGAGATTGAGTTGGAGTCCAACTGTGTGCTTAAAAAAGGTTGCCTTAAAATAAAGATGCAGTTTCAGGGTGTGAGCAGGTTGAAACACAGCCAGCATGCTCTCATGTTTAGAGGATTAAAGATGCCACAGAGGACACACATGCAGACACACAGTGATCATATACTGAATACATCTACAGTTTAAGGAATATATAACATTGTAATGTTTGAATGGAATAGTGGTCCAAACATAAGGAACATGGCATCTTCAAGGGGCTGCTGCCATCTTTTTTTTTTCTATGTGATGAATCTTTACAGATGTTGCTGCAAGAAATACAACACTGAAGTACGAAACCTAGGCTGAGGTCCAACACCCCTTTCTGCTAAGGAGGTTTCATAACAGAGTGAAATGACCCGGGAGTGACCGCCGCCAGAAGAGATGTTTGTATTTTCAAAATGCTAATAAAAGGAGCTTCAATAGTTGCATAAAGAAACATCCCTGAGAGCTTTATGACTCTATAAGCACTGCAGCCGTCTTTTCCCAACTGCTTATTCCTTTTCCTTTAACGTATTGTTTTGACCTCATTATATTTACAAACAATATTAATGAAAGTGCTTAGCCCTCCGGTATCATTCGATTGGACTACCCTAATGAGTCATTCGGGACAAAAATGTCCACTGGCAAAAACGTTGATAAAAACATATTAAAATGTTTTTTCAACGCTTTTTTGTGTCCAATCTTTAAAGCAACTTCAGTTCTAATAAAAAATGTAATCATTTTCAGGATTTTAACCCTTTAAATGCCCTTTAGAATAATTAAATCGCTGTTGTTTTTCATGATAAAAACAGCGAAAATGAGTTACAGCATTCCACTATAGTTCTTTGAATCTTTAAAAGGTCCCATATCATGCTTTTCCGATTATTACCCGTCCCCTTGTGTGTTATGAAGGTTTTTATGCATGTAAACGGTCTGCAGAGTCACAAATCCTCAAAGTACACCCTGTAGGGAGTACAACTCAGACACAGAAAAGACCTCCCCAAAACGCCTCGTTGGAGATTTCTCATTTTCTTCCTGGGTACTGTGACGTGGGGATACCCAGAGGCCGCACCCTCGGCCAGCCTTTCACGAAACAAAACTTCACAAACCTTGCAGCGATTCATGCC